ACAGTGGCAGGAATAAGGAAAAGACAGACAAGAAGACAAGAGCTGGATCAGGTGGAAGCCTGTTTGCCTGACTGGCAAAGAACTTTCCCAGCAACAGTAGAGGTGTTTATATTTTTGCAAAGCCGGTATCAGGAGACACAAGGTTGCCTAGCAACTTATGGTCAAAATTGCCCAGGTAGGATGTTTTACTCAAGACTGAGGTAGCTGGACTGCTTTAGGCACTGAGGTTTTCTCCTGTCTTCACACATATGATCAATTTCCAGCTTCAGCCGCTCCTAACAGTTGAGTACAATGATTCATCTGATTTTATGCTTTCTACTTTATGTTTACTATTTAGCTTTGTTCTTCTTATTTTCTTTTTCCTAATCTCATTGGAGTAATAAAAGTTTTATTTATTGCATTCAACACCTTGTGTAATCCTTTTTTTCCTAAACAGGAATGTTTTAGTGTATTATTTATTTCTTTGTAGTGATCTCCGTATCACATCATTGTAATGTCTTTTAATAATTACATATGCAAGAACTTTTGCCAAACTTTTCCTATTTGAGATTTTTCTTCTGATTAATTTTAGATTTATTTAGAATGTTCCTTTGAATATTTTGTATCAGAAAGCAAGATACTCTGCTTTGATTCCTGAAAATGCCTGACTCTGTCCCTGACAGAGGACTGGTATTTTAGTTGCTATTCCTTGTATCACTTAGCTTTCATTAATACGGATAAGGAATTTTAATTTGCTTTATTCTTTCTCTGTAAATAGTCTATTCTTTCACATGTGCTTTAGGTTTAGTAGTATTTTAAGTTTTTAAACTCATCTTTAATGTTCAAGAATTTTCCTGGATTTGTTCACTGAGTTCCTGATTGTACATGCAATGTGAAGTTTGTGGGAAAGACTGACTAATGGCAGAGCCCTAGTTGTGTTGATGGTCAGAAGTGTGTGTTGCTTTCTAAGGACCCAGTGCTTATGCAGGTGTTTTGGGGATTGAAGTACCAAGATGGCTGGTAGAGAGGCATAGAGGGTAGCAATACAGGCATAGAGACCAGTAATGGGTTGGTTAACAGATAGCCAGAACCATCAGTGTAAAGTTACTACAAGTTCTGTGATCAGGGACTATGGGTTGATTAGTTTGGGGCAGTTGGGTAGCAGGACTTGGGGATTCATGATTCTGAGGCTTGAATGGGTTCTGGCAGTGGGTTCCCTTGTGCAGTAATTGACAGCCAGTGTAGACTGGTAAGTAGGAGAGAGGAGTTTGATGCCAGAAATAGTGATAACTTGAAGGCTTTGTGAAGTCAGTCAGAGGATGTCTGGCATAGTAATTACATTCTGTGTGAATAGCTAATTTTGTAAAAATGTAGTAGCTGATGTTACAGATTGCTGATGTGTTGCATGTGGGATATTTACTTTCCAAACATGAAATAGGTGTATCTCAAATCTGTAAAGAGAAGAAAACTGAAACACAGTCACCAGATTCCCATAACTAGAAGGTGGAAGAGCTGCAATTAGGATACACTTGAAGTTTGCTCTATGTCATATTTCCCTTCTGCTGCTATTCTCCATGTCACTGGATATAGCGAGCTTCCAACTGTCTCTCTGTGTACCCTTGGGAAGGAACCTGAAAGGCTCTTGTTCTATGGCACTGTTCTGCTTAGATATTTTGTGTCTCAACAGAACTCTAGGATCAGGCCTCTTGGCTGAGCCCAGGTCCGTTTTTCTGGCTCTAGCCCCACTGCTGCCAAGTAATACCACTGGTCTTGGGGTATTTACCCAACTTGGGGCTTTTGGAAAAATTGGAGTTTCAAGATACACAGAGGTTCTAAGAGACACACACATACACAGCATTTTTTGGATGTAGTATGTAAGTATGGGGACAGCGTCAGGTTAGATTCAGTTAGTTTAATAGATTTAGAGGTTTGTTCAAGTTCCTTTTTTTCAATCAACTTGTTTTTGATAAAACTGTTTCAGGTGGCATTGTGTATTTGTTTTGTGAAACATGTCTGGCCACCACTTTGTGATGTGAGCAACCATTGATGATCATTTCCAAGATTTACAATTTCATTAGGGTTGGAAAATGGATATGTGCTATTTCTACTGTTACTATGTTTAGGACATAAAGTAAGAGAAATTCCTTCAGGAAGATCGGGGTTACTGAAAGTCTCAAGCATACACAAAAGACAGCAGAAATGCTTTTTTTTTCTCAAGTTTATAAATTTCAAAAATGAAAACAACAACAACAACAATAATAATGTGGTTCTCTAACATTTTCTAGAAGTTCCATACACATTATTTTGAGCTGAGTGACAAATGCACAAATGTGGAACGTATGAAAAATGCAAGGGTCTGTGAGATAGCTCGGCAGACTAAGACTGAGTGTGACGGTGCATGCCTGTAATCCCAGCACTGGGGAGGTTGAAAATAGGAGGATCACTACAAGGCTGAGCTACATAGTAAGACCCTGTACCAAATACATAAAAAGAAAAAGAAAAAATGCATTAAGCTGTATACCTAATATTTATGTATTTCATAAAAGTTATTGTGCAATAAAAATTACCTAACCAAACATTTTGGTTATATTAAAAATGTGTTTAAGGGAAGTATATATAAAAATTCAAAGTAGAAATTAATTTTCAGAGTTAGGAGGAAAAACATTGGGGTGGATGGAGCTAAAATCAAGGGATACAATAGCCAGTATGGGAGCTTTGGTTGAACTGTTTCCAAGCAAAATAATAAGAATATGTGTTTTGAGAGTAATTGGGATGTTTTGAATATGAGCTGAATATGTAAATGATGTAAGAAAATTATTAATTTTCTGAGGCGTGATAATGATTTGTGGAGATTTAAGTGTCACATCTACAGCTTTCAAATTGTTCAACAATGAACTATTTAAATATAGACAAGGCAATATTTTACTTTCTCTTGGAAGAGGGTGGTTGAATTTGAGAATTAAACTGTTAAACAGATTATTGCAAAAACACATAAACTTGGGGGCTGGGGAGATGGCTCAGTGGAATAAGCACTTCTCTGGCAAGTGCAAGGGCCTGAGCTCAACCCCTGGTTCCGCCAAAAAAACAAACAAACAAACAAACAAACACATAAATTTTGTGACATGGGAACCCTCATAAGGAAATAAAGACAAAAGAAGTGAGAAACCATATATAATTTTATGTTAGGTTGAACAAAGACACGCATTTGTGAAAAAGTAACTAAGTTAGGTGGGGAGGCTCAAAGGAATGTAAAAACTATTGTTAGTAAGATCTGTTTATACTGTTTATATAAAATTTCCTAGGCTGTGTATCCCCATTGAAAAAATTTTCTTTTCTCCTGTTACAATGCAGGTGTCTTTTTGCATGGGACTTTTATCTATTTTGAGGAAAAAAATAGGATTAAGGGCCAACAGGATAGTTCAGGGGACTGAGTGCCTGCTTAGACAAGCTCAGGAACTGGGATTCAATCCCCAACACCACCTGCCACACTGGCCCTTCCCCCGGGTGCACTGAGCCAGCCACCGAGTGTGGGCTTGGTGGTGCACAACTGTAATCCCAGCGCTGGGGAGGCTGAAAATGAGGATCACTACAATTCCAAACTGCATAATGAGACCATGTACCAAATACATAAAAGAAAAAGGAAAAAAAAAAGAGGATTAGGAAAACAATTAGAATGTCCCTCTTGCATCTACTATTTTTCACATACTTCCATCTTACAATAATCTTGGGGGCAGGAGAGATGGCTCAGTGGAATAAGCGCTTCCCTGGCAAGCACAGGGGCCTGAGTTCAATACCCGGTTCTGCCACAAAAACAAAACAAAACAAACAAAAACTTTAGGCATATTTTGAAGTATGCATTCTTCCTCCCTTCACTCACATTTAAAATAAATAAATGAGTTTAGATGTGGTTATATGTATTTATGAAAGATTAAGCAAATATGGCAAAGTGCTAATTGTTGAAACCAGGTAGAGGATATCTATATATATGTTTCTTGTACTCCTTGTTTAGTCTTTATGTTAGAAATTTTTGTAAAAAAGGAGTGGGGGGGAGGGAATAGTTAGTAGTCAATTGGTGACTTGGCTTAGATCTTAAGGTTCATTAATTACTAACTGGAATCTGATCCACTTACTGTGTTATACCCGAGACAGAATTTCCACAAAAGTGTTAAGAGATACATCTGACAGAAAAGAATGAAAAAACTAGAAAACTCCCTTTTTTATCTTTCTTGTGAATATTGTCAGTCTTTGGACTTGCTACAGAAGCTTAGAATAAAGTTATTAGGATGAGATATTCTTTTAAAACAGGTTTTATTAACAAACAAAAACTAAACATTTAAATTATCTGTGTTACCTAAATATTATTTAACATGTTCATGTTTTTTTCCTGATAATGTTCTCTCTATGTATGCATAAATGCATTTGTGTATGCATATATATATACATATATGTGTGTGTATATTTGTATGTGTATGTACACACAAGTAAACATGACATGATGAAAGTGGAATCGTACCGTTTGCTGTGTCTTTTTGTTTTTACTTGATGTTTTGGTCTATTTTCCTACAATATTTATATTTAATAGAATATACCATCCTTTTTAGGTTTAAGCAATCCACAAAAGCATCAAAATGTTTTTCAACTTTTCTTTATTATTAGCTATGTTGTGCTAAAACTCCTGCTTTTAAAAAAATTTTTATTTAATTTATTTATTTTTGGCCTTTTTGAGACAGGGTTTCATTATGAAGTTCAGGCTGGCCTTGAGATCACTTTGTAGCTGAGGCTGGTGTTGAACTCACAGTGATCCTCCTGCCTCACCCTCCTAAGTACTGGGACTATAGGTATGTGCCACCATGCCCAGCTAAAACTCCTGGTTTTAAGTCTTTGTACAATATCAAATCATTTTTTAATGGTGTAGTTCTAAAAATAAGTTTTTGGGTCAGAGGTCCATAGGCACTGAATGGCAAACGTGTCTCTTGTGACTTCCTACTCTCAACTATACTTCTGCCTATCTGTTTTCTCAGATCTCTGTCCTTTTCCCAGAAGAGCCAAAAATGAACAAGTCCCTGGTGAGTTCTTATTTGTCTTACTTTTTGCTTGATTTTGTTTTCTTACTAGATTTTAGGAGGCATTCAATACTCCATATAGTAAGATGGATAAGTATAGATAAATAAAAATTAAGAACAGAGAAAATGAAGAAAACTGAAACCCCAAATCAGTTTTATACTATTGACGTGAGTCCTGTGGTTTCACACTGTTATAAACTGAACTAGTCAGTTATCTCTGACTTTTTGGCAATAATGGAAATTGGATACATAGTGTATATTGTTAACAAATACCTTATTTCATCAGTGATACCAATTTTTCATCCCTGATTGAAAACAATTTTAATAGATCTTCCAGTGGTGGGGGAATATCTTCAACAGCAGCCCCATGCAAGTGGCTAACAGGTTTTCCCTGTCTCTTGTAGAGTAGTATTTCTCACACTTTACTTGCATGTGAATTCACAATTTGACACGGATCAAACTCAGGACCCTGTGCTTGCCAAGCAGGTACTTATACTGCTGATCTTAGTCTTGTTTCCATTAATTCCTACACTGATGTGTATAATTTTCTTCCTTGTATAAGCTTTGGATTTAGCTTGTTCTTATTTTCCTAGAAGTTTGAGGCTCAACATTAGGTTATTTATTTGAGCTTGTTTTTCTGATGTGGGAATTTACCACTATCAACTTTGTAGGACTGTTTTCATATAATTACTGGTATGTCACATTTCCATTATTATTTAATTGTAGAAACTGTCTAATTTCATTTTTCTTTTCTTTATTTTTTTGTATTTGGTACAGGGTCTTACTATGCAGCTCAAACTTGTAGTGATCATTCTGTTTTCAGCCTCCCCAGTGATGGGATTACAGGCGTGCGCTACCATGCCCAGACTCAGTGGTCCGCTCAGTGCACCCAGAGAAGGGGCCAGCATGGCATGTGATGCCAGGGATTGAACCCCTGTTCCTGTGCTTGCCTAAGCAAGTGCCTAGTCTGCTGAGCTATCTTGATAGCCCATCCTGTTTATTTTCATCAGTGACCCATTGGTTGTTGAGGAGGGTATTGCTTAATTTCCATGTGTTTATATGGTTTTTTTCCCCATTTATTTCCAGTTTCATTGCACTATGATGTGAAAATATGCACGAGATAATTTCACTTTCTCAGCATTTATTTAAGTATGTTGTATGGCGTAGTATGGATCTATTTTGGAGAAAGTGCCATGTGCTGCTTAGAAGAATGTGTATTCTGCTGTTGGGTAGGACACTATAGATACCTACGAAGTCTGTTCAAAGGTTTGGCTTAGTTCTGATAGTTCTGATATTTCTTCCTTGATTTTTTTGTCGAGTTAATCTTTCTATTTGTGACAAGGGTGTGTTGAGGTTTAACATTAAAACTGTTAGTGTTTATTTTTTTCTCCTATCCATTAGTATTTGTTTTATATAGTTGAAACACCAGTTTTTGAGACATATATATTTATGATTGTTATCTCTTCCTCTTGGATTGGTACCTTAACAAATATGTAGTGACCTTCTTTGTTTCTTCTGATCAATCTTGGTTCGAAATTTACTTTCTCTGGAAATAGAAAATCTACTGGGTTTGCCATTTTGTCTGAGTTCCTGTTGCATGGAGTATTGTGTGCTCTTTTTTTTTTTTTCTTTTTCTTTTTCTGTTTGTTTTTCTTTTTCTTTTAGGTTTTTTGAAACAGGGTTTCTCTGTGTAGCTTCAGCTGGCTCAAACTCGCTGTGTAGTCCAAGCTAAGTTTGAACTAGCAGTGATCCTCCTGCTTCAGTCTCCTGGGTACTGTGACTACAGATGCGTGCCACCACACTCAGGTGGAATATTATCTTCTAATCTTTGATTTTCAATCTATGAATTTCTTTTAGCATTAAATGTGTTTCTTTTATGCAGCATATTGTTGAATTCTTTTTTTGCTTTCTATTTAAATATTTGCCCTGCCAAGTGGATTCCTAGTACTGGAATTGGTAACTTCGTTGTCTCTTTCTAGAATATCCTTAAAAATGTTTTGGAATTCTAGTTTTGTGTTCATGAATTTCTTCAGGTGGGCCAGGGAAATAGCTCAGTAGCACGGTACCTGCCTGGCAAGTGCAATGTCCTGAGTGTGATTCCCAATACCCCAAAACGCCAAATAAATAAATAAAAATAAAACAAACAAAAAAAATTTCAGGGATTCTGCATCTGATCTGAAAATATTTTATTTATCCATTAATTTCAAAAGATAATTTTGCAATTTTGCAAGGTATAGCAGTCTGGCTTGGAGGTTGTTTTCTTTTAGGGCGTGAAATACTTCACTCCAAGCTCTCCTTGACTTAATGGTTTGTATTGTGAAGTCTGCTGTGATTCTGACAGTTTTCCTTTATAGGTGACTTGTTTCTTTTCTCTAACAGCTTTTACTGTTCAGTTCTTGTGCTGAATTTCTGGAATCTTGATTTTTATATACCTTGCTGCAGTTTTTGTTTTGTTTTGTTTTGATGATAGCTAATTGGAGCTCTATATCCCTCACTTAACTCTGTGTCGAATTATTTTTTTCCTGCCATGGAAATTTTCTGCCATGATGTCTGTGAACATACTCTTTTTTAAACATCATTTTTGCTGTCTCTTGCTCTTTTATTGACTCTAATCAATCTTATGTATGTCTTTTTTTACATCATCTAGCAGCTGCTGGCTTTATTTTTCATGTTCCTTTGGTATTTTTAAGAAATCTTTCTTTTCATGATCTCTAACCTTCTGTCCTCACATTGACTCATTCTGCTGTTTATACTTTCAGTGGAATTTTTAATTTCCCACTATCTGTTTGAATCTGTTTCATAGATTTCATTTCTTTCCTATATTGAGGACTCGTGTGTTCCTTGATTTTCCTGAGATCATCTATTTCTTTTATCTGCATCTGCTCCAGAGTCATTAAACATATCTTTCATTATGGTCACCATCTCTGTAGTTATCTGAGAAATTATTTTTGATGTGATTTTTTTTCCTACAGCCTTGTTCATTTGCTTTGTACATGCCATAGTTAACACTATACAAAGTCTAAGCAGGTGGCCTTTGGATTGTTTCACCTTCTAGCCCCCTGGTTTGTTTTTGGTGAGTCGTTCATTCAGTGTTCCATCTTGTTTAAAAATCTTCTCATTATCTTTTCTTCTTTTTTCAGATTAATGTCTGCATTGATGCTAGTAAATTTACTATAGGGAGTAGCTTTATTGCTAGCATTTAGAATCCTTAGGAAATGGCTGCTTAGCAGAGCTGTCTTCCATTTCTGTTGCAAAGGCCTATCTCTTCGATTTTATTGACAATGAGAGGTTGCTGCCTAGTTGGCTCAGCCTCTGTTTTTTTGACACTGCCTTTAACATTTTTTTTACCCTTAGGTAATCCCAGTCTTGGTATACTGGGAAGAACAATTATATCACTTTCGCTATAGTGGTACAATAAGCAATAATAATAGCATCAAACACAACCTAAAAATGATGAACTAAGGTAATTATTGATTTGCCATCTGTAACCATACGAACTAGATTTGTGGTTATATAACAAAATCTAAAATGAAACTGAAAATTGTATGCAATAAATAATTTTTCAATATAACAATTTTATCCTCAGGGGAGAAAATTTAAAAGTGGTTAGAGGATGATAGAGAAATAGAAGGAATAGAAGGACAGACTAGAAGCAAAGCTGGAGGAGAAAGTAGGATCACACAAACTTTGTGAACGTTGGGAAGAAAGAAGGGAAAGAAAAAGATGAAATGAAAAGAACAGAATGTAGCTCAATGGACTAAGTATCTGCTTAGGCAAATGCAGGGACCACATGCTGGCACCACATGCCATGGCAGCCCTGCCCCTGGGCATACTGCACTGGATAGGGAGGCTAAAAACAGGAGGATCCTGCTTCTAATGTCATATCAATTACTGTCTGTACTGTCTCAAGTAAATTTGTTTTTTAAAAAAAGTAATAAATGAAAACAAGAGACAAGAAAAAAAATTTCATAGGACTGTCCTGCTACAATGCTGTATATGGTTAGATTTCTAAATTTCTGTGTAAAAATATGTAATTGTTTATTTTTTAAAATATTTG